TAGGATAAACTAATTTCCCTCTGGCCCAGTGAGATGCTTCATCACAAAGAGATGAGATAACCCACTGATGAAAAACTCAGATTTATAATTTATTAATAAATACTGAAGTTTAACGTCTACATTGAACTTGAAACGGTCTCAGAAGAAGAATTAATGTAGCATTAATTTAAGGATCCACATGCTTTTGCATACAGGCTGATGAATTAATTTTTTTCTGTTCTCCATTTAGCAGATTCTTTTAGTTTGAGTTTAGGTTGGAGAAGGCAGGACATATTTTATGTCAGTTTAATATTTTTACATCATTACATTCTGATATTTTATCATGAGTCTGTGCACGTATGAAAAACACTGTTCCCCCTTTGAAAATAAGGGGTTTGCCCACCCCCTGAAGTCTTCTTCCTCCCCTTTGTGACTTTTCATACTCTTCCTTAACAACACAGTTTATATCATGTGTACAAAGAAATCACAGCAGCCTGACACATCCATCTGGTCTACATAGGTGCAAAGGCAACCAGGAGACTGCACTGTACATCAGCTCCTGTGCTGGAGGCAGGTATACAAAAACACCTCAATATCACATCGGCTGTATGCTTGACAGTGCACAAAAGAGAAGATATGTGGAGGGGAAATTACTTTTAGGTTGTCTCACACCTGTGCCGTGGTTTCCTTTGAATATAAAAGATGTTTTATAAAGTTAAAGTTAAAGTAAGACAAAACAGCTGATGTGATGAGGGCTCCAAATGTGTCTATGATCAGGTATATGGATACAAAGCATATGATGATTTTATATCTATGGAGAAGTGTTTTAATTTGTCAAACTATCTTCCCCAGTGATTGGCAACCCTGTTATTTCTCTAAATATATTGTCATGCAGATGTATTGACCCCAGGATGCCACCCTTTCCTTCTGTTCTCTGGCAGTGACCTTTGGATACATCATACTGCCAAAACTATTGACTCACCTGCCTTGATTCAAATGAGCTTATCCATCCAGATGATTGGATTCAGGTGCTCCAATTACTTCCATGACCGCAGGCGTATAAAATCAAGCTCATAGGAATACAGACTGTTTTTACAAACATTTAAAAAATAAATGGATCTCTCTCAGGAGTTTGGTGAATTCCAGCATTTGAACCGGGATTAGATTCCACCTGTGCTACAAATCCAGTTGTGAAATTTCCACGCTCCCAAATATTCCATTCAACTGTCAGTTATATTATAAGAAAAAGGAAGTGTTTGAAGCACATAGTGTGAAGAGATCGCCACCGTTCTGCCAAGTCAATCACTACACCGCCCCAAACTTCATGTGGCCTTCAGATTAGCTCAAGAACAGTGCGCAGAGAGCTTCATGGAATGGGTTTCCATGGTCGAGCAGCTGCATCCAAGCCATAGATAACCAAATGCGATGCAAAGCATGGGATCCACAGCAACAGAAATACCTTCTCTGAAGTGAAGAATTGCACTCTTTGAAATTTATGGGACTAGTCTGGGTTCGATGGTTGCTAGGAGAACTGTATTTGTCTGACTCCATTATGACAATGTGTGAACTTTGTTGGTTGGGGAATTTAGTGTGGGGTTTTTCAGGATCTGGCTCCTTATTACAGTGAAAGGAACTCTGAATGTTTCAGAATACCAAGACATTTGCATAATTCCATTCTCCCAAATGTGTGGAACAATTTGGAGCTGGCCACTCTCTCTCTTCCAACATGACTGTGCATCAGTGCACACATCACTGTGCGTAAAGACTTGGACGATGGAGTCTGTTGTTGATGACCTTCACTGGCCTGCACAGAGCCCTGCCCACAACCTGTTATAAAACCTACTTCCACACAGGAGGTTTTGCATGGAGGAGAAACCCAAATGCTAAGCTCTCCAGGAAATGTGCTTAATAATTATAATTATATTTGTGTGCTGGACAAGCATGTGTACTGTAACAGGCACCTATCACGAATAATCTTGTTTAAATTTAAATAAGTAGCCTATGATAAAGATTATTTCCATTGTGCATTTAATGGAAAGATGAGTTGCATCATGAAAAAGTTGGCAATTTAATATTTAATACAACTTAATACTGATATTTACAGTTAACTGAAATGTAATTTCCATGGAAAGGAATTATGCTGGTTATAAGAAATAAGGAACTTAAAAAAATGCTTTATTTTTTAGGGTACAACTTTGTGAGAAAGAACTTTTCAGGAAGAATCAAAGGCTTAAAGGGAATATGATAAATATTTAAACTTACTTTGTGGCAGATTTATTAGAAATGACATATGTCCCTTCCATGGCATGGTTTTCCTGTGTAACATTTATCCTAAAACCATGTTTTTCAGATCTGGAAATAAATCCACTGTGTGGCACAGAGAACATTTTCTGTCAGCTGGAAAATAGGACTCTGATAGAATCATAGTCACTTGCTTGGCTTGTGGATTTATTTTCAGTAAAGAAAAACAAAAACAAATTTAACTTTAGACAAATTCTCTTTCTTTGATGTAAGACTCACCTTGTTTCTCCACTTCAGAAAATCAACTCACCAACAAAATTAACTTTCAAATGAAACTTACTAGTATATATGTATTTTGTAAAACACAATAAGAGCTATATTTTTATTTCACCTAACTAGACTAATATGCACTAACTCTGGACTATGGGAAGAAACCTGAGTATCCATAGAGAACAGAAACCTTTACAGACAGAGATAAAAGAGCATTTTTTTCGCAGAACACTCTTGGTTTAGTTTTGTTTCTCTTTGTCTGTATATCAACAAGTCCTGAAATAAAATGCATGTTTTTCACTATGAGATCCATAGTATCTGACGAAAATAAGCTTCGCAAACAGAAATAACTTTTTATTTTTGTGAAAACAAAAACGATTTTACAGAATGAAGTTTGTTTGCATTTGTTTTGTTTATCTTGTACAGTTACAACAACTCTTATGGATGAGTATTGGACTATGCGTTGAAATTGTAACACCTGAAAAAATTATTGTAGATAGGTGTATATCTAAAAGGAAAAAAAAAATTCAAAACAGGATTTCTCAGTTCTAGTAAATAACTTTTTACTCTATCTCAAAGTTATCAATATTTCCCTGCCAGGAGCCCTCATTTGATCGACTTGGGTTTACTTACCAGGTATGGTGGAATTTGTTTGCTCCCCTTTCAATAATAATAAGAATGATTGAACTTTATTGATCTGACATTGGAGAAATTTACCTCTGCATTTAATCCATCCCCTTGGGGAGCAGTGGGCTGCCATAAAGACTTGGATGGCAGAGTCTGTGGAGCGCCCAGGGAACAGTGTGGGGTTAAGGGTCTTGCTCAGAGACCCAGAGTGGCAGTCTGTGGGGTTTGAACTTGGAACCTCAGGCTCCCGCTCCTCAGGTTATTATATTAATATATAACTAATTTAATAAAAATGAAATGGCTGAGTTTCCTTGAAGAAAACTTTTAACCTATCTGCCTGTGTCATTGCCTTGAGTTGTCTTTGTAAAGACAAAAAGAAATACTCTGCTGTGTTTTGACATTTCTTGAGTCCAAGCAGGAGTATATCCAGAGAAAACCAACTTCATACAGAAAAATTATTGAAGAAGTTTTGACTTTTTGCAGTTTTTTAGAAACTTTTTTTTCTGTGTGGTGAAAATGAATATTTACCTATTTTAAGATGCATTATAGGGCTTAAAAGATTGTAGCATATTATATTCTTCAAATTGTCAGTTAAGTTAGAGATTTGAAAAACACTTATTGTGCCCTTTGACATGCTTTTCTCTCTTCCTTCCTTTTTTTTCTACACTTTTTTTCTGTGTTTGTAACCAGTCTGTTTGTTTCTAACCTGTTTGCTTGTGTTAATGATGCGGGGGAAATGTGGCAAAGCGAATATGACAACAGTCAACAGTCTGCTGCATGACTCCTGCTCCCAAGCTGAGCAGCAGCTCTCCGTGATTGGCTGAGAAAAGCTCCAGCTCCGAGTGGAGGCAAAGGATGCCAGAGTGTTCAGGCGATGCATGGAGGAAGGATGCATGCAGAGAGCGCAATGTTATGTGTTGTTGCATCGCTTTGCAACTTTCAGGAAAACATCTGCTGCGCGTCCAGCTCCGTCGGTGCAGTTTAGATGTGATGTTTTGGCTCCGTGTTGCAAAACCTCTGCTCACTTCCACTGCTGGCGACGCGTCCTCTCAGGAGTGATGGGCTCCAAGTTCACCCGACAAAGAAGTCTGGATCTTGAGAGCAAACTGACCAAGAGGAGAAACCAGCGAAATGATCCTCCCAGGGAGGACGAGAGAAGTGGCAGCAGGAGCGGCGGAGACTTCTTGTTTACATCCCTGATGCTCAAGTCCGACAAGCTGCCGGGGATGCTGCGGAAAAGCAACCAGAGCCCCTACATCCAGCGGGTGGCCTGGGTCCGGGAGATCCAGAAGCTGCTCAGGGAGCAGAAGATGGAGCAAGCAGGAGAAGTGCTCAAACTACTGAGAAAGGTTGGACACTGTCATGACTTTTGCTTTCTTTGTTTGTTTGTTGTTGTTGTTTTGTTTCTTGAAAAAAAAAGGTCGAGTCAAAGAAGCTTGATTGGAATGACAGTTTTAAAGAGACTGTCAAAGCACAATTGCTATTAAATTTTTCTTCAAATAACTTTAAATTTACTCGCATAACATTAATACTACTACTCTTACAATATATAGAGTAAGTACTTATCTAGAAGCTTAAATAGAATGGCTTTATTGAATAAGTTGTGGCCAAAATATTAATTGTCACCTTTGCTTCTTTTAAAAAAAGATAACTTTCCTAATGTATGTGAAATATATTATATCACATAAGAAAATAATATAAAATATGTATGGTAATGTAAACTTAGTTCTCATTTACTGTGAGTAAGATTTTCTATTAAACAATTAAATTAATAGAAATAAGTGCAATCCATCTTCGAATGAACCAGAGGTGTAGCCAGAATTTTTTTTATAATGGTGGCCAGGCAATAACTAATGCACACTGAGGAGGGCAAAAAGTGAATAGGCACCAGAACCTCAGGTTCAATCTACACTGTTCCAACAGGAACAAGCACAAATAAATTTCTGTTTTATTATATGCAGTAGAAGCTGGCAATTATTTACAAAAATTAGATGCATAGTATTTTAAAGCTGCTAGGAGTAAGATATTTCACACAATATTAAATCATCAACAAAAAGAAATTAAGGCAAAAAAAAATGGCTTCATCATCATCAGGAGTTAATTTCAGGGGCGGAGCTAGATGGGGGGCACAAATTTCTAAGTAAAGACAAACTATAGTTTCCTACAGCCTTTGCTAACAAATAGATGCATATATTTAAACATCCATTCATCCATCCATCCATTATCTGACACACTTGTCCCAATTGGGGTCTCGAGGGATGCTGGTGCCTATCTCCACCTGTCAATGGGCGAGACGTGGGGTACACCCCTGACAGGTCGCCAGTCCATCGCAGTGCAACACAGAGACAAACAGGACATACAACCATTCACACACACACTCACACCTAAGGAGAATCTAGAGAAGCCATTCTAGAGAAGAATTTATTCATTCTCAGTCATTTTTGGAATGTGGGCGGAATCCGGAGTACCTGGAGAGAACCCGGGCATGCTCAGGGTGAACATGCAAACTCCATGCAGAAAGACCCTGGGCCGGGAATCGAATCTTTTCCATCGTCATTACTTACCTAGTTTTATCAGTATCATTCTTCATTAAGTTGATATTTACAAGTACTAATATCTACATAAATTCATCATTTAATAGGTTTTTATTAAAATAGTTATTTACAGTATGATTTCACTGAAGACTCTGCAATGTCTTGCAGAGACACATCATTTTCTCTTTATGGCATATAACACAAAATCTAGTTCTTAAAGATCATGAATTCTGTACTAATCATCTCTAATGTTGGTATATTGATGTGCATAATTAACCACAGTATTTTTGTTGTCAAGTAATTGTTAATATAGTATATAAAATTAAATAGTTTTGAATATTCTACTATTCTACATTTCTAAAAAATGGTAGGGGTGGCCACAGGGGTGGCCAATGATTGGCTAAGGGTGCTCATGGCCACCCTTGGCCCCTGAAATGAACTCCTGATGATGACTTGAATGGAAGCCATTTTTTGCCTTAGTTTCTTTTTGTTGATGAGTTAATGTGTGAAACATCTTACTCCTAGCAGCTTTAAAATATTATGCATCTAATTTTTGTAAATAATTGCCAGCTTCTACTGCATATAATGAAACAGCATAGGAGCCTCAAACTAAACCACATGTACGTTTCAGTACCTGTTGTGATTAACATGGCTTGCTGCAGAGGTTTGAATAATGTTTTGAGGAGAGTAATGCATCTCTAGCTCAAGCTACATATATGCTTAAGATTAACTTTGGTTGTTTTTATATGGTATGGAATTTTTTAATGGTCTTAAAGAAAGTATCCAATGTCATTTTGAAGTTTAAGAGAATAATGGAGACGAGATACACTGATATTTTTGGCAGAAATTGCTGTGTTTTTTCCTGGTATATACATTGGTTGATGCAAATGTGCATCTGCTTATTCATTAGTGCATTCAGCAGCCATGGCTTGACATCATGTGTAGCACAGGCATTGCATCTCCCTTAATTGCCATAAATTGTTAATGTTTTGTTTAATTTTTAAATAAATGTTTCTTGTTGTAATTGAGATTTGTGTAACATTTGTTATTGTATAATTTTAATCATATAAATGTATGAGGAAAAAGCAATATCAGCTTAAAGAATCAGCCCCAGAAATCAGCAGCAAACATTGTAGATCAGTTAGACTGATAAAAGAATAATAATCGCATTGGCATTAAAAACCTTGCATTGCTCGATCTCTGGTGAAAACTGAAACTCTGTGTGGAAAGAATCAGTTTAATCCTTCTTGAATATTTCTGTCTATAAGGTTTCTGTACATATTTGCAACTCCTGAAATAAGTAGAAGCAAAATCATGGTTGCTTCCATTTACATTTAGGGTCTTTGGCTCCATCGCCCAAGTGCCTCTAAGTAATGATACAAACCTATTACAACACACCTAATTCAATTACCTGAAAGGCTTCCTGAGAATAAAACCTCTACAGGTTCTTTCCAACTACATAATGATTTCATTCAGGTGTGTTGAAGCAGGTGCACATCTGAAAGCTGCAGGACCCTAACCCCTGAATGTGTTAGTAACCCATGCCTTAAATATATGTTCATAACCCCTGCCTTAAATAGAACTTAATTTTCCAGGAAAGCAATTGCATTTTCTTCTTACTTCTTCCCTCTAATGTCAATTTCAATAATAACAATGATCTACTGTAGGTTTTACTGCAGTTCCATGTATGGTGGGGCCGTACTGGTAGGATTAGATCATGTTGACAGTTTTTCAGGACACATTTATGGACTTGAAAATCACCAAATTGTTTTGTGCATTTTGTAACAATTTTACCAAGTGATCTGTAAAAATCCTTGATAATAAAAAAAAAACAAAAAACGATTAATACTATCATTTCCAGTACTCATAGTCACCCTGATACGTTTTGTTGTTTGTAAACTTTGTGGAAACCCATGGTTTTCTCTAGTATAGCTCAAAACATTTTGCTGCAATCAAGTCAACCCATTTGAAGTAATTTTGAATGCTTTCATTTAACACCTGAGGTCTTTAATCCGTTTAAAACAAACACCGGCTCTATTTGCTTTGTGGTAATGTTCCTACACTCAGGAAATAGCCCAATAGTGTGCGGACTAAGGTGGACTAAGTTCGGTTGTTAACAAATTATAGAACACTTAGTTTATGGTTTGATTGTGGAAACTTAATCCCACACAGCTGAGGTCAATGCTGCAAGCTTGAGCCAAACCCATTTCTGCAGCCGCGTATGCATTGCATTCTGGAGCACAGTAGAGTTTATAACAAAATGGAATGGAAGCCTGCCTATTCTATGAAGCAGAAGCAATATTTTTTTATATACTTCTCAGATAATTTAGCATTAAATAGTACAAAGTAACAAAATGGTTTCACAATTTTTTTGCATTCTTTTGCCCCCCACAACACAGCATCTGATTCCTATATTTACACATGGTTCTCTCAACACATGCATATTTGACCAACAAAGAAAATGAATATTAATTTATGGTTTTTGGTACAGAAAAGTTAATAAACTCATCAAATGATTCAAACCAAAATAAACAAACTGTAGGCAATAAAACCCACCTTGAAGTTATATTTCTGAATCATTGGGTGCAGTTTTAATCTCATGTTTGATCAAGATGGGCCTTCTTAAAAGAACTTCACAAAAACTCTGACTGAAATAACTTCTTACAAATAAAAATAGAGTAAAACTCTAAGAAAACTGTAAACTTAAACAATCTGAATTAATAAAAGAGTAATACAGGTGCTGTACATGTTTTGTAGGCAAAAGGATACTGATGTATATTTTGAAGCAGCAATCTGTCACATTTCCGATCAACGGAAGATCCTCCTTCTGTTTCATACATACTAGATATCCATATCACCAAAATGCCACATTTCAGTCGCGCATGAAGCACAACTGCTCCCTCCATCACTCAGTGAGGTAAACCAGAGCACTGCTACATCGTTTGGGCTGGAGCCAAGTGTCTGACTAATAACACTTCCAGATGGGTGGGGTGGTGGGGGTGGGGGGGTCGAATAAGTGCCAGTAGATCTCCTGTTGCAGCTCACCCACTGTAAGGCAGCTTTTCCTCCTAGGAAAAGAATGTGGAGATAATCACCTTGAGATGATAGATGCAGGAGCATCTCTCCTTCTTTCACACAGAGGAAGTCATTGAAAACAGGAACCAATAATAGCGTTAAATCTTCATCAGGCATATGACTTCTGGGCCATCATTTTAATTAGTTTGGGGGTTATTCTAGAAATTAATTAGTAAACAAAAACTGCACAGGAGTTTATACGGATAAAGCTGCAGACAAACTCATCTTGTTACCTGAAGTAAAGAGTAGACAGGCAGCAGTTCAAATGAGGCAGGCTATCTCATTTAATTAACAAAGAAACCATACATTCTATTGTTTTAAAACCAGTTAATATACTTCTGCATAATATTTTATCACAATTACCACTAATGTATTAGGTTTCTCTTTCTTCTTCTTTCTGCTGCCAAAGTAACATTGATTACATTGTTATGATATTTAATTTATCAATTTATTTTTATTTTTGAAAGGCATTAGTGGAAAAAGTATCTTAAAAGAATTATGTAGTTTTCAAGAGCTTAGTGTATTATTTTTACCATGTTTACATTCATACCAGTAGTATTATTATAAAAAGCATCAGATAGATGAATATTTGGTCAGGCTAGCTGTCCGATTAGCAGATTTGATAAAAGCAATAGCAATTCTTTTGTTTTACACAAGACAGCACAATATTATTAAATGTGCAATAATGATGAATATTGTGATCCTGTATCATCTAGAAGTAACTAAACTTTTCCTTGCTCTAATCTCCCGCTGTCACTCCTTCCCATGTCTTCCATGTCCCCACCATCCCCCTTAGCTTTAGCATTTCAGTTACTACTACAGATATTAGGTGCTGACATAAAAGACAGTGAAAGTACTTCCAGATGGCCTTATATGTTATAGGAAGGCAGAGTTTGAATGCTTCACTTTAAATATCATCCCATCAAATAGGTCTTCTTAGGAAATCAAATACATAAGTTCAAATTCTAATAACAGCTGTGATTTTTTTTTTACCTGCTTACTTGCAATGCACAGCAACAGCTGTGGGAGGGGCAGCACTGTATTACCCTTTGTAATTCAACTCTTTTTTTTGTATCTTTAAAAAAAAGATTTTAAAGCTACAGGTGGTAAAGAAACCTGCATTTTTCAAGAGTAAGAGTCAGTTTGGTAAATCTGGTCAAGAAAAAGAACCACATGCCCATTGTAATAAATGCTCTTTAATTTCTTTACTTTAATCTTTGAGCAAAACTTCTAAGGCTGCACAACACAAGAAGAATTGCATTAGCTTATATTATTGCAGAATGACTGAAGTTAGTGACATTAACCAGTCAGTTACAGTAGAGTGGCTCAGGTTAGCCAGAGCTATCTCTGTAGTTATGCAGTTATAGGCTTAGACTATTGGATGATATAGGGACCCTTTTTATCGTTTTGCTTCATTCTATCTCTATTCTCAATTAAGCAGAATTTGTTAGTACAATCTCTAACATAATGGTCTCTTTCCTTTTTCTCATAGTAGCTTCATCTGCACTGTTCCAGTTTGGCTGTGACACTATCCTGGAGAGAAATATCAACTGTGCTGCTGCCATTAACATCTTTCTTTATAGATGTTGGAGCTTGGCCTGTTTTTTCAGTATAGTCCTGTTTCTCTTACTATGACTGGCTGGATGTGCTCTACATCATCCTCTGACATGGGAGCTGGGTCGGAGCTTGTCTGCTGGCTATGTGTTGGACCCGCCTTTTACAGTTACTTTTTGAATCTCTGCTTCTGTCTCCTTGAACCCCTTGAACCTCGGCAGATGGCCGCTCACACTGAGCCTGGTTCTGCTGGTGGTTTCTTCCTGTTAAAAGAGAGTTTTTCCTCTCCACTGTCGCTACAACCATGCTTGGTGTGAGGGATTGCCTTCGAGTCAAAGAGTCGATGCAATCAGCTGGTTTTCCTTAGATAGAAACTTTGAATTAATTTGTATGATCTGGTTGAATTGTCACTGTAAAGTGCCTTGAGATGACATGTGTTTTGAATTGGTGCTATATAAATAAACTGATTCAATTATAATTTATGGTTCTTTCTAATAAGGCTGCAGAGTGGTGCTGTTAAAAGCATTGCTATCTTGCAGTAAGAAGGGTTTATCCAATGTCCCTTATACTCTGTAAGCATTTTCATATTAGTTTCCCATATTTCACTTTAAGTCTTGGTGTAAAGGGTTGTGAAAGTCTATCCGAAAGGCTAAACATTTTTTCGGATATATCATTTGGATGCATAGCAATCATCAGTTTAAAGTAAAACGTACATTTGAAATAGTGCTGTTATTTTCAGACTATAGTTGCTTATCTTAAAGCGACTTTTGATACAAGAATCTTCTCACATTAGTCAGAAAAGTTTTGCTTATTTTGTGACTTAAGCCACTGGCCAGGATTTATCAACATTCGAAGACCTTCAAGCAGTAAAAGTTCTATTTGTTTACTTGTTGAGTGGAAAATATGTTACTTTATGAGGATGAATCACAAATATTTAAACATGACTGTGTTTTGCAAAGTATTATATAAAACTTTCAAATGTACAGTTGCTGAGAAGAACTGTTGCACCTACTTTTAATACCAGTGTGAGGGATAGCTTAGGCCTTGACAGTAATTGGGCATACAGATTCAATCACTGCCAGTTCCAGCTGCAGACCATGAAGAATAACACTCCTTTTGAGTCCAGCATTTTTGAGATGAAGGAAGGTCCTGATCCAGAGGGAGGATCCGGATTAGAGTTAAACTAGACTAAGGAGTGCAGACTATATCTTTAAACTAGATGAAGCTCAGGAATGTTTCAGTCTGCTTTCAAATGGGTTAAGGGACAGACAGATGATCCAGTCTCCTGTGATTACATCCATTATTAAGTAAATGTTTGAACTTAATCACTAACTCCTTTTTATTCATGACTTCTCTCAGTCAGCCAATAAATTCAGGGGTGGTTATATACCAACAGAAAGTCTTGTTATTTCACCCTAACAATTGGTAAACTTGTGTATATCAGGCCAGCAAACTAATGAGCACAGACTACAGGTATTGTTTTGAGTAGTGAGTTTAGCATCTAGCATCTACCTAGTGGGTAGTATATGATTGTTATGTCCCTGGCGTGGTCTAGGAGGTATAAGCGACCAACATAAATTAGACAGGGAATCAAGGAGTTAAAAAGGCATTTAAAGAGGTTTATTCTGTCATTTTTTTAAAGAATGTTTTCTGTAGAGTGGTAAAAGATTCAGAGAGAGCTCAGGCCAAAATAACAAACAAAGCAACCATAAAAGAAAAAACAAGTGACTTACCTAACTCAAACTAAAACCAAAATATACAAGCCTACACAATAACCTACCTAACAAGCACATAAAGAGGAGAAAACTGGGGTTAAAAAAAGGGGCTCTCCCCTACAAAAAACGGTGTTACTAAAACAAAAATTACATCCATGTTGGGGATGTAACAATGAGTTTGTATGCAGGGTCTGGGTTCTGGCTACACTATGTTGCCATAAATGAATCCTGTGATAGTTTTTGATTTGGGTTTTCTTTTCTCTTCATCAGACATCAGACTTTGCTTGCAGCATCATCTTTATGATGATCACAACAGACTTGTTGGGAACATTAAGCTGTGACATCTTTAAAACTGCACTTTTCTCACCATATCTGTTTTGGATTTGATGAGTTCAATTCCAATGTCATTAACCTACGAATTGTAATGGAAAATCACTTCAGCAGTGAACAATTTATCAGCATGTCAAACCAGAGGATCATAGATCAATACAAAATTGAATTAAATGCAACCTCTATCATCTTACTGCTGCTGAATATTCCTTTCATTGAAGCGGAAACCTGTAGGATGGGATTTATTGCATTAGGCTCTATACGTTTCAGGATTCTAATGAACTACATGTGTGGGATGATGTTCTCCTGTTTAGAGATGCTCTCCGTATTCAGACCTGAAGACACGCAGCTTTAACGAGGACAGCTCACAGGCATCCTGCCGGAGACACAGAGCAGAGCAATTCATGCTTTTCACAATAAAAAGAGAATGCAATCAGATCTCTTTATATATCTTAGAGAAGTGTTTCTTTTTATCTGTGAATCCACCAGAATTTGATGCAGCAGCTGCATGGCACAGCGGAGGCACTTATATAATCACAAGACACTGTTTAATAACCCTCAATGCTTCTGTTTCTTCACACATGTGCTACCCTGACTGTGGAGGATATTTCAGCATCAGGGAATCCCACTGATCTCTGCTGTAATAAATCAACCCAGAAGCTGAGGGAGGAGAAACTGCTGATGGGAGTTTTTTGTCTTTGTTTCCTCCGTCCCCCAAAGCGTTATGGCAGTCAGCATATATTGAAGATGTTTTACACAGCTTTAGCCTCCAGGCTGCCATTTTAAAAGCGTTTCAGCTCATGGAAAAGCTGACAACATGTATTCAGCACCTCCGCAGCCTCTGGTTTCACCATAAACAGGCATATGATGGACAGAAACACATCTCTTATTTTTTTTTCTCCCTTTATGTTTGGTAAAACCAGTTATACCCATAATGAAAGAGTAGAGAAACACCTTCTTAGGTTTGCATGGCCTTAGAAAGTATTAAATTGGCTTTACGTGTAAAAAGGAACAATTTCCTCTAACCTTTTAATCCGACTAACCTTTAAGTTTCTGATTGTGTTGTTTCATGCCTTCGCTCTTTTTTCTTCTGTGCATTTATTTCAGAATCTTAGTTTGAAACGAGGAAATAAAAGCACAAACCTACATTAGACCATTGTATTTACATGAACTGTAAATAAATTGTAATTTCATTTTCTATAGCAAAACTTAAAAATGTATTATTTGAGTTGTTACAGTAATATTGCATCTGTTCTCACTTGTACCCAGTTCCCACATGGCTCTCAGCTTTTTATATTATCTTCATATATACATAAGGACTGTGTGTAGTGGAGCTGCACAGTACTCTGATGGGAAATCCTTATCTCCTTGCATGATGATAACAAGCTGAGATGAAAGGAGATAATAAAGGAAAGCCTGGAAATCAATTTTCAATCTGTCTTTATCTAACAGCCCTTAAATTGGCTTTTAAGTTCCGTTGAGTTCAGATGTATTTTAATGGTTCAAGTTAAGTGAGAGTAAGCTGTGCCTTTTTTAACATCGTTCTTCTTTTTCCCACTTTAGGATTTGGGCCTGCAGGGAACATCCCTCAATGACATTTTGTACAAGAACGCAGCTTTTCTCAACCTTGTGGACCCCATTTCTCATGAGCTGCTGCTCAGACTGGCTCGGGACCTGCAGTGCCCAAAAAAGGTAGGAGCATGCAAATGTGGTTGAGTTTGTTTGAAATGTTTCTGTCAGGTTTATCAAACAGCCTTGAAAAGTCAAAAATTGTCAAAAAGTGAATGTATTGTTGTTTGATATGCCTCATTGCAGGGATGTTGTACTTCTAGAGATGTCAGGGAAACGCATCCAATAAAAAACGGCAAACCCACATACTTTTTATCAGAGCTATATTCTTTCTAACTAAATATACTAGTGCTCCCACAAAGCACATGGGATAAGTAACTGTAATAAAACAATTAATAGGCCAAAATCGACTGAGTTCAGCATCTGATCCAAATAAAAAAATAATCAGATTGCCTTAGTTTGCAGCAATTACAACTGGTTAAAATTTTTGGAGCAGGTTAGACCACTTGTGATTCTTTGCAGCTGTGCTGGTGAAGGTCCAATCAAACCTGCTTTATTTTGTAAGCAGCAATTTTCCAGAATTGTCATGAATCTACATTAAAACATAGGTTACGGTTATATACCTGCCGAATATATAAGTTCATCCAGACAGACACAGCACTCATTCAGTGAGTGTATTGCAAGCGTGGCAGACTTGGACATACACAATCGATAAAAATGTTCAATAAACAGTGAACATGGTTAGACCTCAGGAGTACAGAAAACAGATACAGTGGAAAAGCAAACTCCTTTGAGCTTGTTAGAGCAACAACTAAATTTATGTTGACTGCTCTGATTCTTTATGTTGTAGGTATTTCCATAACATACTCTCCTATAAATTCCTCTCTCACATATTGCAACTTGTATAGAAGTATTGTTTTCGGCCTTTACATGATGACCGTCACATGAGCAGACATTTCATGTCTCGATGTGCCTGTGACCCACACATGCACACACACATGCAACTGCATAACAGCAGTCAGGAGGCGTTTGTGGCAAGGCCATAACGATGTTTTTCAGGGACCTTGGATTATATCCAAAATGTTATCATTTTGGTAAGTTAATGTTTGGACATACAAGTTATTTGTAATTTGAAATATTTAATAACATAAAGATGAAGGGGCATCTGAGAGCACCCTTCAGCAGGGGAGCATTTGCTTCCCCTTAACCCCCTGTAGATACACCCCTGCATGATGGAGACTACATGCAAAATAAATACAGAAAGTCCCAAGTTCGAAATTTCAATCAAAGACTCCCTTGCTTCAAACAAACCATGCCAACTGCCCCACAGATTAGACCTTGGGGCTGAAAACAAAAAACTGGATGGGACCAACAAGCTTTAAAAATAAGAACACAACAGATCTGTACAAAGCTTCTGTGAAGCATTGAAAGTCCTAGTGGGAAATAAGCATTTGTACTCAGCCTACAGCAAACTTTCTCAAGCTCTTGTCTCAGAAGGGGAGGATAATTATGAGAAAGTTGAGGGATCAGCCTGAAAAACTATTCAGGAGGATTTTGTTCATGATCTGAAGGCAGCATGACCCAGAGTCCCCAAAACACTATCAGTAACACACTGCCCAGGATTGAATTCTTTCAGCAACTATACATAGATGGCAGACATGTCAGCCTGACCAACATTGGCCTGTGAATATCTTAGTTTTGGGAGTAAGTTTAGTCAGATAGGATCAAGGCTAAGCTCTTTGGGACCAACTCATGTAATTTAAAACGATGAGACGGATCTGGATTAGATCACTTTTTACTCAGCAAGGACATGCATGATGGGGGGGGGGGGATTAAACTAATAATCACCCCTATCACAACAAAGCAACTGTAAGGATGTAGAGTTTAGAGGTCACAAAATTCCTCAAAGCAAAATGTCTTACGTTTCCGCTTTCAAATTCTTCACTACGCTAGAATATTTCATTCATTAAATGAATAAAACTGTATACTGTTTTGTCACTTATTCTGGGAATGGACTTAAATGAAGAAGGGAAAAAGGAATTCCCATTTAATTAGTAGAGATTTATTTAAACGTCTTGTTCACGAATGAGGGGAAGAGGGAGCGGGAGATCGATAGGCGGATTGGTGCGGCGTCTGCTGTGAAGCAAGCGCTGTACCAGTCTGTTGTGGTGAAGAGAGAGCTGAGCCAAAAAGCAAAGCTCTCGATTTATCGGTCGATCTATGTTCCTACTCTAATCTATGGTAATGAGCTTTGGATCATGACCGAAAGAACGAGATCCCGGACACAAGCGGCTGAAATGAGTTTTCTCCGTAGTGTGACTGGGCTCTCCCTTAGAGATAGGGTAAGGAGCTCAGTCATCCGGGGAGGACTCAGAGTAGAGCCGCTGCTCCTCCACATTGAGAGGAGCCATTTGAGGTGGCTGAGGCATCTGATTAGGATGCCTCCTGGACGTCTCCCTGGTGAGGTGTTCCAGGCATGTCCCNGATGGATGGATGGATGGATGGATGGATGGATGGATGGATGGATGGATGGATGGATGGAGATCCATTTAAACAAGATTTGCAAGACTTGGCAAGTGGCAAGAGAAGAACAGATGAGGAAAAGAAAGGAAGAACCTGATGAGGAGACGAGTAAATAGGGTAGTTAATAACAGAGGAAGCAGGAGCTACTAATCAGAGGACTCTAGTACAGTAAGGGAAGAAAGCAGATCAGAGAACCTGAGTGAAATTAACTTATCAACTCAAAGGCAATAAATGAGAGCTGATTTTTTTTTAAAGAAGAATATATTACCAACATAGAATTCATAGAACAAAACAAAATAAATCATCAGAAACTCGACAGGAAGAATTAAGCTTATTTATTCTTTTACAATTAAAACCTAGAGAAACCTTGATAAAATCAGTGGAATAATAAAAAAAAAAATTACATTTTATAAAATGGATTTTGCATAATATTCAGTAATACAATTTTCCCTATTTGAAATGAACTACCATAAAATTGAAGATTGTTCCTATTTTAAAGTGAGCAAAGTTAGAAAATCAGCAGGTGATCAGAGATGGTGCTTTACAAAAATATTTGTAATAATGGGCCAACAGAGGCCAATGTAGAACTGGTCCTGGCACCTGCAATGACCCGGTTTATCATTCGACCTGGGCTTCCTGAGCTTTAGCCCCAGATGTATTTTGAATAACCCTGATCAGACTTAAAGGATATCAGATAATTATATGTCTGTCATAATGATGCATGAAGGTAAATAAGTATCATGTTTTAAATATTGATTTAATAAATAATTCCTTGAAGGTAACACTGACCGCTTTAACAGGGCTACATTAGGAAACATAACAAGGGCAGAGGAGAAGCCTGGTGCTTGGTGTAATCATGAAGCCAGGAGGCCATGCTGAATATGCCTATAAAATCTGAACGATGACTAAGAATGGACTAATGTAGGTTACAGGTAATCACTTACTCCCCCAGCAAGGCATGAGGGAGAGGTTTACTCTAATGAGCAGCACCAGGGATGAAGGGACCTTTGCCAAAGCTACATTCTTTCTCATTATATAAACTAAAGAAATTCTCTCTGTAAACTCCTAGCTGGACCGCCATGATGTGAAATATATTTCTAGTTAAGTTCAATCAAAATCAAAGTGTTTCATCCTAAGTAACTAAACACAAAAATGAAAACAATGTGAAAATCTGTTCAGATTATCACATTGCTTTTCATTTCTGCAACTAGTCCAAATTTCTCAGTAGAATTGCTCAATAAATAAAGACGTCTACTTGAGTCAGTTCAACATAGTAGTAAGGGCAAAGTCAGACTCAATCTTAGATTAATTATGTGCTGATTCTAAACAAACTGTTCTATGTTTTTTAGAGTTGTGGCATTACTTAAAAAAATAATAAAAAATATTTTCAGTGTACTAATAATTAACTCTTCAATTTTTATTTTTTTATGAAATATATCAGATAAAGTAGTTGGACAAGGATACTGTTTCACTTAAGATATCCTGTATACAGTCTTTAGAAACTTTATCATTGAGAGTCATGACAGGACAATAGTGAGATTAATGTTAGATTTTAAACACCGTAATTGAACCACCTTTTCTCTACCAAAAGTGTTTAGTATGGAAAAGACTGGACCAATAAGTCGACTGAGCACCGAGGCGAATAACAAAAAACAAATGAGAACAGGGTCATGAAAGAATGACTGTTACATTTAATCAATGTTTGGAAATCTCTTAACATAATTAGAACAATTTGTCTTAAAATTTTCAGCCTTTTACTTAGAAAATCAACTGTGTAACTTTTTTTGAAATGTGAGAACTGACTGGCCTTGGAGCCTGGGGAGTTTGAAGTGCATGTAAAATTGAAATAGGTCATTAAGATGAAGTAAAAAGGGAATACTTATTTGACCTAAAGTGAACATAGTTTTTCTCTGTTATCTATCTCTCACACTTATTTTTTTTTAAGTTGACAAAATGTAATATTTTCTGATTTTGCAGAATCATTTTTCCTTTAAACATTATGAACCCAAAACTTTAAAATTATTGTAAACATTTTTGGTTTAAGTAACTATTATCTACATTTAATCAAACCCAGCCAACGTCGCAGTGAAACAACGTGTCCTATATTATCTTATATTAGAGTCCCATTGTCTTAAGAACATCTAAATTTTTTGGGGCCTTGGCTAAAGTCCACAATGCTTTAAGAGCCTAAAAACATCCCTGGTTAGGACAAAAGATCCACTTTTTATGATGATCTTTATTTGCACAGGAACCATAACTGACTAGTTATGGAGCAGTTTAGTTTTTACTTTTACATTTTTACTTTACCAATGATTTCAAGACAAGCCTCAGCCAATTGAAGATCACATTTTTAATCTGCCCAATCAAGAGTTCTGCAAGCTGCAGCTCCAGGGCAGCAAGTGGCTCTTTGGCTCATTTATTGTTATACATCAATTATTGACACTATCGAATTGTTGGAACAAATGTATATAATGTTATCTCATATTTACTCATTTTCTAATAGCTTTTATAATTTTACATTGAATATATATTTATTTCCCTTAAAATTGCAATGGCCTGTTATTCATTTCTGTGTTGAGCTGTTTTGCAGAAGCTGAGACATAGTGATTTTGGAAAACTTTTGTACCAGTCTTCATGCTGGAATGTTATGCAGGGGGTTTAAAGAGGGGATGAGAGAGGGCAGCTGTTTCCCCACTCTGGAAGGCTGAATTCTTGATAACATGCCCTTTAAGTACTTGTTCTTGTGTATATCAGTCTCAAAGAAAGTGTCGCTGCTGGTTTTCCCCTCCTCTTTAGAGCAACAACATTCATGTAACTAGGGACCTCCCTAAATGAAATACAAAGAGAGGAGCAGCAGAGAGGGTTTCAGAGCAGTAGGAGATTATAACTGAACACATCTTTGTCCGTTCTTGTCACGAGTAAAATAATCTAATGCTCTTGTCTTTCTTTCTTCATATGTTGATATATGATTTAGGTACTTGAACCTGAAACAAATAAAGAAACAAATAAAAAATCCCAATGTTTTTTTTGTTTTGTTTTTTTGTTGCTTGTTTCACTCTTTTTTTTTTTTTGTCTCCTAGAAAACTGACCCCACCTGTAAGTTTGGTCTAGAACCACCTCTGTTTGTAGCCTCATATTTCAAGCCTGTTGCTCATTTTTCTTTGTGAAATAGTTGGATGGAGAGCATATGTGAGACAGAAAAATAAAACTGAAAGATAGCCACTAAAATCTAATCAAAAGAAAGCTGCATTTTTTAAAGTTGTTCTTAAATGCCTTGATCATTCAATTGTGCTCACTTTAATAAAAAAAGAAGTATTGAAAGATCAATGTGACAATTAGGGATGAGTGAAATGGACAAAGAGAGGCATTTAATCTGGTCTTGACCCTGTTTACTGCTCCAGTCAATCTCTGCTCTGTATAAAATTGGCAGCTGTGGTGCTGAAGTCAAAAGGCCTCTTGGCTGCTGCGCTGCTGGGTCAGAGGAGGTCTGGCACCAACAGTAGGGGCACGTTTAGGGGTTTCTCTAGAGAAAGAAGAAAAAAAAATTCTACAGTTCCTAAATATTTCCTCAAAACAAGGCCATCACATACCTATTTTTTTTATTTATTTATTTTTTTCATTTTGTTGTTCAAAGAAATCCGGGATTTAAAACATTTGATTTCACGTTTCTCATGCCAACCATCTTTCAGCTCTCCTCATTTCATTGTGTTGGAAACTAGAATGGAAGCACTGATTCCTTAAGAAATGAATTGTGTTTTGTCCAGACTGGCAGTCGGCTCATTCAGTTGCAGCACAGCATACAAATCAGACATGTTGAAATTCAAGATCTATTTCCATACCAGGCATTTGAACAGAGGTGCAGGTACTGAGATTGACTGTAAAAAATAAAAACAAGAAAAACCCCTAAAGCTATCAGAATTATTTAGGGTTAGATCTGATTACAAGAAAAAGATTTAAATGTAAAGATAAAATCATAGAGGTCCATTTATTAAGGCTGTCTGAAACTCTACTTTTATGCTTGTTTGCTTTAGACATAGAAGGCAGAAAGTGTAGTCCTGGCAGTGGTATGCTCCTAACTGGCCACCGACCCGTAGCGAGATACTGAGTCAAACGTGACAAGGCTGTAGAGAGGTTGTGTGCCCGATTCGGGGCATCATAGCTGCTTCTGTGAGCAAAATTTCCCAAAATGCTGTAAATCATGTAGGTTTATTATTTGAATACAAACCATGTGAAGACAAAGACAGTTTTCTGCTTTTTCAAACAAAGTGTTATCAGTGTTATCTAACTAGTGTTATCTAGGGTGAATAAATTTAGTGTATGCTTTGGTTTGATGCACTCCTCTGTTTATTTAACACGGCTGGCTGTGTGGATCCATGCAGACGCTACACCCTTTAAGAAAACTTCCACTGACATCATGCTTGATCATTCAAGTGGCAAAACATGTTGAAGCGTAAAGCCTGTTCAGTCTTTAAGCTAGTAGAGAATAAGGCAGGAGGAGCTTTTTTTTCCCTCTGGATAAATTATGACACCCCCCACTCCCTCTTATGTTATTGACTTTTTCTTGTTAATTTATGGCACTGATTAGATTTACTCTGTTCAGAACAAACTTTTGCATTTATGGTCTTTGATGAAGTGTTTGAATGAGGAAGTGTTTGCAGCTTTTTTTTTTGTTTTTTCTTAGTAGGATGTTGTTTCCTAAGGATCAAGAAAACAGTTTTCTAGTTTGAAAATAAAGTTGAGGACAGATCTTTTAAAATTCATATAGATTTATAGCATTTATTTTTTGTGTCACTGACTGTAATAAACAAACTAAGATTACTGATGTTAGGGATCTTTAATGATTGGGTCACGTGGGATAGCCTGCCTGCAGAGGGATTGTATTATTTTTATTTTTATTTTTTTGGTGATCCAACTCACAAATAAATCAGGCAACAGGTCAGCATTTGCAATACTGCTTAAACCTGAACAATAAATTCTTGTATGTGTTTATATGCATTAAAACAGAGTATCCATTAATAACTGATAGATTTGGGGTTATTTTTGGATAGTTTTGTGGTATATTCTCAGCCATAAATCAGTTCTAAAACCCTTGGGGTTTTACATCTTAAATCCTCATTTTTTTGGCAGCTTAGCTGAGAATGTGAATCTACCTCTTGGCCAACAACCTGGCTCAGTTACAACAGTTCTGTTTACAGGCCTGGGCCAAAATTTGAGGAAGCTATTGTAAGAAACGTTTGTAAACCTCTGAATTAAACATTGTTTTTTTTTTTTATCCCCTTCTTATTTTTAATGACATTTAACAAATAGATAAAACATCACCTTAACTAATAAAAAAAGGAAAAGTTTTGGTTACATTAGTTTCAGAAAGTTATAGAAAGGTTGCCTAGGTAAATTCTCGGTAACCACAAACGTGCTTAAATTGGAAGGCAACCAGACTTTTGACTCCTATCCTATAGAAAGGTTGTGCCTTTATGGAGAGTTTAGGTAAAGGTCTGATTAAAAGTGTATTGTGTCAAGCATGTTTTGCTTATCAAGGATAACTGTGATTCAGTGGACTTTTCTCTGCCTGTGTTGCAGGAAATGGAGTCACTCAAATCCACCAACAAGATCTGCCGGCAGCTGATTTACCACTTGACCCCTCACTCTAAGTGGACGAAACAGAGCGTGCCCCGAAGGAAATCCCAAGCCTGGTTTGTATGTGTGACTGAGTGAGGGTGACACTGTGCTTTTATTTATCCAAAGATCCACTTGCTGACACAGTGAAAGCAGCAGAGAGATTCCCAGCCCCCTGCTGCTTTGGAAAAATGACCCAATTTAGCTTTGAGGCAAGCATGCCCAAAGTCGGTCCTCGAGGGATGCTGTCCTGCAGCTTTTAGAGGTTTCCCTGCTTTAGCACAGCTGATTTTGATTATTGTAGTACAGCAAAAGCCTATTAATCACCTATCAGTGAAAATCAGCTGTGCTGGAGCAGAAAACCTAAAAAAACAACGGCAAGACCAATTCTGGGCATGCCTGTGTTACTGTTGATTTAGCCCCATAATTACCTCAATCTAATGCATGTTTCCGCCCAATATACAAAATGATGGCTAAATATATAAAAGTATATAAAACAATGGCCCCGTTTATCTACACATAAGTTATAAGTTCAATTCTGATTAATTTTTTCCTTAAATCATCTTTTATAAAAGATTTTCTGCTATGTTCTAAGTAATCTAATACTAATTCTAATCTGACCTTGTTGTTTTCTGTTTTATTGGGGTGAAACAAATAAGTGTGATTTGGTTTTAACCAACCCCTTCAGCGAATTTGGTTTTAAATAACCCTATCCCTTGATTCTTAGTGCTTTTACAAGAACTTCAACCAGTGTAGAGGGTTGCACCGCTTACTACCAACAACTCATCATATATGAAATTCTCTCCCTTGGAAATAATCCCTCCAAGGTTCCGAAATGACAGATTAGTGTTTTCTTAATTAAACATCAAACCAATTGTGAATTGATTAAACATTAGCCCTGCTTTGCCTAATGGCTATTTCTCACTCTTGTCTTCTCTAAAACACTTTTAGCTCTTCTATTTGACATTAGCAAAGTCATGCAGTGAGAGAAATATTACTTAAATTAAAAATGATATCTTGCAGTTTGTGTGTGTCTAGTCTATACACAATTGTTGTTGACCTAAAGTTTTGTTCAATGAATGTATTCCACATTATATTCTGCCTCCAGCTTGATGAGCAAGGACCTCTCAGGGAGCAAATAAGCTGCATGATAATTAAAGCTGATAAAGAAGTAAAGTATCAGTGCCATTTAGGAAAGTCCTTAAACCCAATGAAACAGTCTCATTTAATAATTTTAGTTTTTCTCTCCACTCCGTCCCCCATAAGTCCCTGTGAAATATTTTTCAGTCACGTAAATTGACAGGAAAACTTAGATATAGTCCACGATTAAATTGTCAGGAGTATTTTACTTTTTTAATGTGTTTACAAATTGCAAAGTTTACAAAGGTGCTTTAGAGAGCGATTAAAACAAGTAAAAAAGAGATAGATAAAATTATCAGAAAAATATGATTAAGCTGCTAACAGAAAACATGCACAAATAATGAAAATAGAATAGTTGAAATAATGTTTCTTATTTAAAAAAGTTACATAATCAGAATTAAAGACAGCGTAAAATAATACTTAAGCAGCATGGATTTGAATTTTTCATTTATGTAACTTTATCATTTTCTCACATCAATGTGAGACACTATTGAGCACATCTTCTCTATCCAATAGGATTTCAGAATTCCATTTATCCACAGTTCTTAAAATGCAACCTCCCAGCAGTTCCTTCAAAATGATGTCTGGACTTCTGGCCATGCTGTTGTAGTTTAAAGTTCTGTAAGACCGTTGTCCAGCTGATTACCTTATTTCTTTTGTCTGAGAGTTGGTTCTAAAATTTGATTATTGATATCTTTGGTATAAGGAATACTTCATGATAGGCGAAATAATATGACAGCAAAACAAGCCCAAATCCTCCATGAATACCTAATCCTTAACAACTCCATTCAGTCAGCTATTGTTGCTGCATGATGCAGATGGCTGGGCCATCCATATAAATATCTTAATTGATCTTTGTCTTGTTTAGTGCCTTTAGACAACATTTGTTTTTACACTGCACTGTATTAATGAACTAAATTGCCCTGCATACAAAACCCAATAATGAAAAGATGGACATTTATCTGAAAGGTTTATCATGGGTGAATATTCCCTCTCAATATAGGATAATGAACTTAACTTGTTTGGAAACAAACATTTCCTGATTGATAGGAAAAATATTTGCTTCTCAAAAGTCATTGCTCATATCTTTTCCACCCTGTTTTTGATTGGGTTTCATCCCAATACACTGTTAAATATCCTATTAACGATTTTCAATCATTTCATTTTAATACTTACATTTTTTTTACTTAACTCTTATGGAAGTATGTATATGAATATATATATATTCTATCTGTAGATAATGAAAATACTATGCAGTATATCAATTTAAAATAGGGTAGTGTAGCTCTAACATTTTCAAACCCTAAATCCTTGTAAAGCTGTGTCTTGGTTTGGGGTCTGCTTCTCTCCTTTCATTTATTTGATCAGGACAGTGCACATTAATCAACATTACCGCAATGCACATGTGCTGTATTTAGCACAAGAGCTTTATCCTTCGTCGTCCGACAGATGATTGCAAAAACAGAGGAAAAAAAATGAAAGCATGAAAGACACACACTGAATCAGGCAGGACACAGTTTGAACAAAAATGCACAGTTACACAATAAATACTGTAACTAGCAAACAAAAGGCTGTCTAAAAGCCGAATACAGTACAAAACAAATAAGCAGTAAAGGACAGCATGAATAAGTAAATAAATAATACCGGTAATATTTAAAATTTAAGTTTAAAAATTAAGTACTTATTGTTCTCTTTGATATATATTGATGCTCTATTCCGTAAATGTGCACCTCTAATAGACATCCTCTTATGGCTAAATTGTGCTTTATGCCTCAATATGTTGCAGTCTCCTTAGATATGAAGTTATCAGAGCTAAAGTGCTTGACCAAGAACAGTCTAGACTTAATCATTTAGGTCTAAATCAAGGCTACATATTGACATAATATTGAATGGTGTCTAATTCTGGTTTATGTGCAGCCTCTGTTTCAAAATCCTTTCTTTTGCTCAGAACTTCATTAGCAGAGAACAAACGTTTGACTGGGTCCCCGAACATTAATGGTAAAAACACCCTGAAAGGACAAAAACAGATTTTATTTATACAATTATCAGTAAATTTGTAAAGAAAAATTTAACCCATATAATTTTATAGATAGTTCCAAATAGCATGTGAGGATGAAATTAACGTAATGTAATGTTTGACAACTGGTCATTTACTTATTGGGTTTTACAGATTTCTTTTTTAGAAATATCTACCTCACTCAAACTGCCGTTTTCAGACACACATCTAAAATCTTTGCTTGTTTGTTGTAAGGCAATTTGGTCTGGTACCAAAATGAAAGGCTGAAGATAAAACTTTGATTATGTCAAAGTGTTTAAAAAGAAGTTAAAATAACCAAATCATCCAAGCATAATAGAATAAAAATAAAAATGCAATGTATACATTTATCATAAACTTTGGATGATTAGGTCCCATAAATTCTAACTATTTCAAAGTACAACACAGTTTAATGTATCAGTGGTTCCATATTATACAACACAGCAAATACAAAATAAAAAATGTCAAAAGCTTATTTAAAAAAAAGAAAACATACTCAAAATTTAATTACCTTGTTTGTTTTTTTAACGTTTTTTTTTTTATTCCTCGTCTATAGTTTGAATTGAGACACAAAAGGTCCTTAAACAAGTGAAATATCACAACCAACCTTGGTCGATTTGATATATATATATTTTTTATGAGTATTTTTATAATGCACTATATCATCACTTCTTTAAAAATGTCCATTTCCATTGAAATCAATCTAAACTTACTTTCATCTCTTTATATTAGAGCACACCTTTCCACATTGGATTCCTACTGGAGCTTTGTTAAAAATTTGTTTTATTTGTGCTTATTTTTTCACACAAATATATATCCTCTATTGGAGCATCATGAATCAGGGTTAGATAAGTGTGGTTTTTAATTCTGTAATTGCACCTTTCTGATGACATAACCAAGCAATCTACTTCAAAGATTTAAACCAAGCAGGCACAAATCCTGCCACACCCTTCATTTGTTAATTAAAAGTGAAATGAAACAGGTCCCAACTCAGAGGAAGAGCTGCTGAAAAAAGAGCAATATCTCTTTTCTGGATGACTATTGCAATCTAAAAAGTGAGTCCTTACCCCAGTTCAGTCATAACTAATATTTATACGCATAAATTATTCAGTCAGTGACTTACATTTTCAGAACTCTGACAGATTTTACTAAATAGCACAAGGTTTGGGGTTAAAACATGATGCAGAATGAGAACTAATAATTTGAAAAAGACTCTTTGCAATGTTTTTAATTGTTCAGACGCAATACTTTCATGGTCTGGTAGAAGGAGAGCTCAAATGCTGAGTGTTGTTGTGCCAAAAATAAAGTACTTTAATATAGAAAAGCTCAAGACAAGACATGAATTAGAACAAGACTAAAAAAGGAGCAGAAAATCAGTCAGAGATATGGAGCCACACAGGAACACACCATAGATCACGAGGATGGAGGAGAAATTCCTGCAAAGAAACAATCAAACAGTACACAGGAAAAGAGGAGAGGAAGGCAGGGCAAGCAGGTGAGAATCAGCAACCTGAGGGAGAGAAAGAAGTAATGGGCTGAACCTGAGTAAAAGGAAACAAGAAAGAAATCTAAGAATAAAGTCTCATCAAAAGCAAGTTGATAGACAGAGGAATTATTAGAAAATATTTATTTTGCTTAGCAAATCTAATTAAATTCACCAAAAACTATAAAGCATAAAAGATTAAACGTTGCTTTCTCACAGCAGGCCATCAGGTCGTGCGATGAAAACAAGTGGCAGTGAAAAAAATGCAGACTTAATTCAATGCTAAACATGCACATCTGAACTGTTTGTTCATAACTGTGAAATTAAAATGATTCTCAATTAATTAGACATGTTTTGCTATTTTTTGGAAAGTTAAAACTCCTCAAATAAAGAATGATTATAAACCATCTTAGAAATAT